TAGCCCGTCGCTTAAATGGTTGGAATCAGCGTTCACCTGGCTAAAACATTCAATTTCGGTGAAAATCCACTTGCTCCGTCAAACCCGAAAATCTGACCCAATGGTGAACCGTGTGAGATGTTCAACACTCAAGTGTGTGATGAGGACTAATCAAACGGTTATTATTGAGGCAACTCTATGGCTCGTATGGAAACTGAATTCCGAGAAATCGGTTGTTTATTCTCACCCCCACTCGGAACCTTTGATTTAATTGCACTCCCATTTTTTGTATCCATTGTCCAATGTTTGTGTACAGAAATTCCAAGATCATTCCCCAAAGAAATGCGGACAACGTTTGATTTCTCGGAGTTCGAAACCCGATCGGCACCCATTGAGTTTCGAACCCGAATCATCGGATTAGAAATCGCTCGCCCTACCGACCGAGCTATCGTTGGCTTTCAATTTTTATTCAGTAGTAATACCCCGAGTGCTTCATAATTATCGGGTATTTCCCCATAATTTCGTTGTTAACATACAAAAGTGACAAGTTTTGTAGGTTTAAAAATCCCGAGCGCTTGCGCGATTGAAGGGTTAGTACGAAATATCCGGAAAAATATATATGTTAGTGCGAAATATCCGAAATAAACCTTCCTCCAGCCTGTCATTTGTCATCAAATGCTGCATTCTGATTGGCCCTGGCTATCCAAAATCCGTACGTGGAAAAATAATCATCAGAAGTGAATAATCATGTGAATTCTAGCAATTAACGCTATTGCGGAAGATATTGGGCATGTCTGCCAGGTACAAAAGTGAAGTTATGGGGGTAAAAGTTTGAAGCAATGTTAGACTCATATCGTAGTTGACTTTAAACGTACTAATGTTCTATTCCGAAATATAAAAAAATATAGGGTAGCTGAATTGACATGGAATGTCCCACGTATGATCGGCAAATCGAATTTTCCATGGAATTTTTTTTTTTTTCATCTCCATATGGCTATCCCATTTTGAAATACCCCGGAAAAGTTAAGTAATATCATCATGCATCGAAGGAAAAAAAAATTATTCGATTTTCGAATGGCCCCTGCGAAACAGAGGGATTAAATTAACGAAAAACTTAAAAAATGGCTTAGTATTCATCCTCGTGGTGCTGTTGTATTTTTAGTCTCAAAGTATATAAAAAAACGAAAAAAATCTTTTTTTATTTATTAAAATCGGCCAATTTGGTCGCAAGATATGATTTTTCAAAAATTTGAGCTTTTGTTACTTGTCCTGGCCAAACAATTAATGTTAAAGGAGCGAAAATTCAGAGAAAGTATGTACTGATGTAGTACTTGACTGCGAGCATGCTAATTCAGGATTCTGAGAACCAAAAAAATCCAGGGTGGCTGAGTTGACATCGAATGTCCCATATATGCGCCTGTCCACCTGGTGGTCAAATTTTACTAAATCGAAGAATTGAAGGACTAAAAGATTTTCAAAAAGTCTCAAAGCTTGATTTTGATAGTTTGTTTGACATTCTTCAACAGAGACTATAGTTTGTAACGATTCAAGTTGAACAACCAACTTGAAAATTTCACTGCTATTTACAAGATTGTCGAACATTATTACAGATATATCAAAAGTTGATATATGATTGTGTAAACACTTTAAGGGGTTCTTACCATCGCCAGTCTTATCCAATTGAACCTCATGTTTCTTTCCAATTTCATGTGAAAGAATTAATAAACACCGAATCGATTTTTTTTTTCAAGGTATTTAATTCTTCTCCCACATTGAATAAAAAGGGTCAGACTCATTACCAATTTCTCCTCTGAGGTGGTTAATTGGTGACTGGCAAGGCCACGTACCACACACATCAAACTTCAAGAAAACAGACGCAACAAAGTATCTACATCCGGTTGAGTGGTCTCCCAGGCTTTTTGTCAAGGACCAAACTATAGGAAATCAGAGATTGGCGTGCAGTTAGTGAGAGCTGGAGCCGTTGATGAGAACGAAGTACGGGACAGTAAAAAACAAAATTCAAGGGTATTTAAGCATTTATAAAATCCGAGTCAGGTACTTGTGAGAGATGGAAATTATGCTTTCATTGAGACGGTGGAATAGTTCACTTCACATTCATTGAGTTGCATATATAGATATCACATCTATGAACTTGGCTCATTTTTTATAGAACTCAGTACATGTATTAGAGAGTATTTTTTAATGTTAATGAAGTATTTTTTTTTATTAAAGTTACTCAGCATCTGTGTAATTACTATCACCATTTTCATTACTATTCCTAGAATTCTCGAAATTCCCCGTCACATTGCCGTTAGCCATTTCGTATATGAGTTTAACCGCCTGTTCACCTTTGTACACCTTCTGACGATTTGTCTCAAGCTCGAGAGGCACTGAGTCGCCAATCTCACGGAAAGCAGCGTCTGATAAATTAGATTTCAGAGATTGCTTTTTCACCGGCACTTCATAAAGTACAGCTGTTTCTGGAGGATTATGGTCCTGTATAATTGAACCAGGCTTTGGTGTACCGAATTTCCTGGATTCGATATTCTCATCTATTGGTCTGACGAGATTCTCATTCTCATCACATATCCGTTTCTGTTTGTCGTCTTGAACTAATTCATGCAGAAAATTCTTGAGGTCACCCTCGACGTTCTCATCGTCCACAAATCTTTCCGAATCGTCGGTTCCTAAATTCCCACCTCTCTCAAGGTACTTCAAAAGCCCCATATCAACGAATTTATCATCATTTGCCTTGTTATCGGCGTCAAGTGTATGCGACTTTCGCTCCCTCTTTGGGCACATTGTTTTACAAGGTCTGTCACCAACACAGTCTTTCTTCTGCTTCGGAACACGTCCCTTGCATCCTTTGAAATCCGTTTGGACATCCTCACCACCAGGACGTGCCGCAGGTTTTACGCACTGGACTTTCCGATGTTTCGTACCCTTTTTACCATCACATGCGTTACACCGACTCCACTGACTTACTCTCCATCTGAAGTGTTAATTCATGTACAAGAGCGAAGGGAATAAATTCTTCTTCAAAATGTTTTCAACTTACTTTGCGGGACATGGATCCTCATTACATACTCTTGTCTTTGGTTCTGGCTTAGGTAATTTTTCACAAAAGCTCGCTGAAACCATTCCGTTCTGCTGCTCGATACAAGATGCCTCTGAGATCATAGTTCCTCCTCCACATTTTGCATCGCATTGTGACCACTCTGTGAAGTCCCAAAGATATTTCGGAACGTAATTGGATTTATTGCCAGACATCTTATACCAGGTGTACGTAATACCAGGATTCTTTGTTGGATGGAAAAATGTATACTGTAAAATGAAATCAATAATCAACACTGCAGTCTCATTTACTTCTGAATGGTGGACGTTTCAACTCAAGTTATCAATTTTTCATTTAAGAGTACTCGAATTTGACGTCATCTAATCGTCCGGATCACAGACAGAAACAAAAATGTCAATTTTTATCGCAGCCAAATTATAACCGAATTACCGTATGACCGTCACATTACACTCAAACAGATGGCTTGCTACAAAATTTTTATCATACCCAAAGAAAGTACTTATTCAAGTCGACGTTGGCTTGATTCTAGATGATTTTCGACTTGGTTTCAAGTGAGTCGCTCGGATTACAACAATCAGGATTCCGGGTCTTATATGTGCCGAAAAGTGGTTTACAGGGTGTCCCATAGGAATGTGTGAAAACTAAACTTATCTGCCGACTCATCCAAAATAACCTTGACTCTACGTTTGTGTTACATTTACTAGGGGCCAGTCAGTTTTATTCCAACTGT